CGTATCGAGCAACAGGGCACTGTACTTGCGACAAGTTCGAGTGTACTGTCAAGTATGTGATACTTACGGATGTATAATAAAAAAAACTTCTGTTCATGTTGGCTCTTAGGTCAACTCGTTACACGCGCAATGAACATTCAGTTTTCGACAAATATTTTATCCTTATGAATTGATTCGTCGCAGGGAAATGATGTAAATGATATTATATTGTGTCGATATCATCGCGTGTGTCTCCTCGTGATCTGTGAAGTTGAATTACAAAAGCAGGAATTACTATATCAAACAGTGGAACTGACAAAAAGTGTATGATGCAAGTGATGATGATCTTTGAAATGAGAAACTTTCGTGATTAATTAATCATTTTATTAAGTTCATGGGATCTAATAGTATCTAAATTACTCTTAAGATAATAACATTAATTTAAATTCAACGAGATACTGTATAAAGTGAGCACAGGAGTATAAAGAATGGGAGTGGGTGATAATGATGATGATGTCTATACACGCGCAGAGTTCTTCTCTTTTTATAAAAAAAAAAAAAGAAAAAAAAATAAAAAACAATTATTTGACATGTTCAACGGAAGTATATCTTTTTTCGATCATGCCAATCACTGATAATTAATAAAAAAAAAAAAGAAAAACCACAAATGAGCATGATTTCTTCCACGAGTATTCATGAAGAGTTTAAGTTTCGGTACAGTTACCCGAAGGCAGTTCCATCCTTGCACACCTGTGGGTCACTGAAGTATTCGGAGGCAACGATCCACGATACACACCATATTTCACGAGGCAAAGCATTTCAAATAATCCTCACCGCCGCCACGCCGCGCTACGCAATTACCAGCGTTATCTTCATCTGTCCGTGTTTCCATAAAGTGCAAATTCTTGCGGGAATTTCTAGTTACTGGTTGAAAAATTAATATCTCTTTTCTCACGGCGAGCCGAATAAACCGTGGATATACGGTTAAGCCACCAATTAAATGCAGAATTAACCCGAATACGGTGCCTCTCGCTCGCTGCTTGAAGATAAGCCGAACGCGTACGCGCGTTCCTCCGGCCGCGAGCTACTTAATAAAACGAAATTAATTTGTAATTACGTTAACCCGGATGCGACCCGTTCTCCACGCCCCCTCCGTCCACGATATCCACGTTAGAAAACCGTCGGAGGTTCCGCGTTCGTACGTTCCATCGGGAAAGAAGAAAAAGAAAAAAAAAGAAAGAAAGAATGCCACAGTGTACGAATCGACGCGAACCACCAACTTGGCGTCCATTTTTCCTTCTTTTCAACGTACGCGAGCCGCGTCTCGTTGAACGTTGTCGTTTCGCGGCGAATACTTAACACAACGTTTAATTACGCGAACGAGGAGCGACAGAGAAGGATGAAGAGCGAGAGCGAAAGAGAGGGAGACGACGAAACCCTTATTCGTTATCACGGAAAACGGTACAGTATCCCGTTTTCTGCTTCCTCCGGTCTCACGTAACGAATTAAGCACCTGTACGTGGGATTAGAAGGTTTCGGCTGACATGCCCATATCTTTCCGTCTTTTTCGATCCACCTCTGCGTTCCTCCCTACGTTTCTCTCTCTCTCTCTCTCTCTCTCTCTCTCTATCTATCTATCTATCTATCTATCTTTCTTTCTTTCTCTCTCACGCCTATATCTTACTCCCCGATTCCTCTCTCCCTTTCCCCGTTCCATTCGACCTCTTTGTCCTTTTCTGCCCGCCATCTCTCCCTCCCTCCCTCCCTCCCTTCCTCCTTTCTCGCCCGTCTTCCACGATCCGCCTTCTCCGTCTCTGTCTGTTTCCCAGTCGCTTGACACATTCGCGCGGAGAAAATGCAGCGAGCTCTCCCGTAGCCACCACGTATATATAGGAAGGGAACGGATGTCTGGTGTGTAAGGAACCGCTAAAATGGTGTTCGCTCTTATCCGAAGATCTAGAGCGGCGATGCGAAGAGAGGCACGCGGAGGGCTATACGTAAGGTAAAAGGGGGCTCATGACTGGTTGGTCGGTTGGTCGGTTGGTTCGTTCGTTCGTTCGTTCGTTCGTTTCTTCGTCGTTGTTGTTGTTGGCTGTCTGGTTAGGTTGGTTAGTGCCGTTACCAGAAAGAGGCCACCTAGGTTCGCAAGCAGCCAGAGTTAAACTCTCCTCGAACTTTCTTCGTAATGAGACACCAGCTACGAAATGACAAACGTAATTAAAGCAGACGCATAAACAGAAAGAGAGAGAGAGAGAGAGAGAAAGAGACGAGAGGTCAGAGAGGAATCCTCCGAGCCCCTCCCCGGAGGAAACAGAACCGTATCACCGGGCGATTTTCACAATGGGAAACGCGTCGTTGCTCTTTCGCTCGTCACCGTGAGCACCGAGCTCTGCCGCTCTGGAATGCCGGCTGGATCGGCCACGTCCGGACAAGCGGAGTCCATTCAGACGCTTCTGCCAGTCATTTTGGAACCGTCGTCTCACCACTCGATTCCTTCGCTCTTTATTCGTACTCGTAATTTTATCTCCCCCGGACGATCTTCCCTTTTCATTTCATCGGCGTCATTCAACCATCGATCCTACCTGTTCCTCGTGTTTTTTGTATCTCCCAGACGACCCACCACTGATATCGACGTATGGCTCTAAAAAGGCATGCGATTGCATAATCTCGTACATGTACGCGGCTTATTATTATATACTAATACTTGCTTGCCCGTTGGGAAAGATTATCGGCGTTAATTTGACTCGATTCGTTGCAAATTGGTAATTGCTCTTCTCTATTTCATCTTGCTTCGCCGTTTTTCTTGGCTGGAATTATTGATCACATATAATAAAAAGAATCTTTACGATATAGTTTAAAATTAAAAATATCCTAAATGTTCTACCAAAACGTCCAGTTCTTTGTTAAACAGAAAACGTTTCAGAACGCTAGGATCAAGGGTGACGAGCTACGAAATCGCGTAAGTGGAGTAAGATGTAGCAAAATTCGGAGCTAGTTCGCACGATGTGGGAGTTTTTCAGGCAATCAGAGATTCAACCTTGCCCCGTTTTACGTCTCCTCTGAACACAACAATGGAAACGCAATGGTACAACACATTTCACTTTTTCGCAACGTGTGTACCGGGGAGCCTAAAAGTATTGCGCGATTTCCTACGTCTCACCGCGAGAGAACTCGCCTCGTAGACACAATGTAGATTTGGCCGTGTACCGTAAAACCGTAATTATCATCTTTCGAAACGCGCCGGTGTCTTTCCAGAAACGTCGGCCCGTTTCCTCTACGAAAAAAGAGAAGAAACACTGTAATTCTAGGTTTGAGCGACGATCATACTACGGACTTGTAAGCATTTTTTGGAAATGCATAATATGTAAAATGTGTACTATGTAATATGTAAAAGCACTTGCTATAATATTTATCACAATAATAATAATTTATTACAATATTTATGAATTGGTGAAGCAAATTTCTATCTATCTTTTTAGTTGTGCTTCTAAAAATATGAAAAGATAAAATGGAAAAGATTGTAAAAATAAAATTATTAATTTATTTTATCATTGTTATTCTTCCATAGTGTTTTGGAGATTTAGAGTTCTAGAATTATGTGATAGTGTGATGATTGAAAATATATTTGAGATATTGAGATTGCCCTATTTGTAGAGCATTCTCCATGGTTTCTATTCTATCTCTTATTTGTATGACCGACATCTGTATTCTTTAATGATTTGTTATATGATAATCGTTCCTTTGTGCTTTTCCTTCATGAAGTATTCTAGATTATCCTCTATGTCATGTTCTTTCTACTTTCTCTGGAACTATTGCTTGCTCTTCACTTTTTATACAATAGTTTCTCTGTGTGTATAAAAATATTTTACACTTGTCCTATATTAAATAATTCCATGTCTCTATGTTTCGTAATTAATTTAACAAATATCCCACTTGATTTGTTTAAATAAATGATACTCCAGTTACAGATAACATGTTCGTTTCTATTTTTAACAGCCAATTAATACTGTAATAATCGGCTGCTTTCGGGAATAATTTAAAACTGTTAAGAATTCACGACGCCGGATAAGTTCTTAATTCCTCCAGTTGTCAATAGATGAAAATCAGACGACGCTACAGTAGCCATCGGTTGTTGCTGTGTTCAAAAAAGTATATTCAAACTATATCTCGTTCTCGTATCATTATATTCTTTCTCCTTGAAAGGATAAATATCCACCGCGACGATATGCAAAATACCGATACAACTTTCTTCACGTTGCGCCATCAATTTACTCGCAAGTTCGTGCAACGAACAAAGTACGAACGTTCTCGCATAATTTCCAAAGGGTTCGGTCGTTTTCGTTTTGTCGATGGAAGAGCTCTCCACCGGTGTTGCTGTGTACGCAGATAAGGGGCATCGATGCGATCGACTGGATCGGAAGTAGCCCATCCTTAGCAGCGGCCAAGTGGCTCGATAAGACGCGCGAATCGCGCGCGAAATGCCGAAGCTTATTTATTGGCAGTCGCGTTCCTGCGTGCGGAACGGCGTGCCGTGGCTTCCACGCGAACCCGACCGAATACTTTTCTGTGATTCCATTGCCATCCGGAGGCTCACGGGGCCCGCGTTACATTCCTGCTTCGATCTTCCAACGATCTCACCGGGTCTTCCACCGCGGAGCAACAGCACCCACTGGGTGTATATTCACGCGCCGCGGGAGCTCGCATAAAACTGCTCCCGAGTTTGGTGGGGTCAGAGATCACGTTACCAGCCGATAAAGATCTCACGTGAGTGATTGTCAATGATATTTCACTTAAGGGATCGTCAAAGTCCGCCGCGCACACGGGCCCCTCGATGCCAGGAATTTCTTCCTGGCTACATCAACCCTTCGCTTCGTTCTTTCCACTCAACTTGTTCTTTGACTCGTGCACGAACGTCATCCATTATGCATAAGATCTCTTCTCGCTGCAAGTTGATTAAAAGAAAGAAAAAAGATCAGAATTGATATAATTGGCACGTGTAATTAAGTAACATACAACTCGTTAATATGTAACAAATATATAATAAACGCCGCGACCACGCAAATCGAGGAACTAGTATAATCAGTGTTTTTTTTCGATGAGAACCTTCTATCAAAGTAAAAATAACTATACAATACGATAATCACGAAGTCACGGAGATTGTTCTTTTTTATCGAATGCGTTCGATCAAAGTTCACGGTAGACTGTACTAATAGACTGTATTAGCCTATTGAAATCAAGCGACACGTAAATTCCCAAATCTTCATATCGATCAGTTATCGCGACTACTTATGTTGCAGTGGCGCCACCTCGTGTAAATTAAGGGGAAATCGCAGCGCATTTATTCATAGCGCCGCTTGACACGAACAGACGGCCGCAAGTTTCTCTTCCTTTTTCATTTTCCACGCATCTTTCACATTGGCTGGTGATATGTATATTTCCTTGATGGTATCAGCACGTGTTTGCAGTGCCGTTTAATTAACTAAACGTAGCATAGACCGATAAACGGCACGTATCAGCCATAAACTTAACACCGCCTTCGACGTTTCTGATAACACTCTATCGTTGTTGGTTTCTTACCCACTGTTATGTCAGCAGCAATGCACGAAAGTACCTTCACGCCCACGTTTCCTTACGTACCGGGAATAGGGTACTGCGCGTACAGTAAATACACGCGTGCACGCGTGCACATGTGGGAGTCGTACAACGTTCGTCAGAGATGGTAACAGACACCCCCTACCGAAACAGCGGTTTTCAGCTTGACGTCTTCCTTACTGCAATAATTCAGAAATTTTTGTGTCGATCGTTATTCGTATTTCATATTACCAACACTAAATATAAATCACGATTTAAATGACAGTAACCTCGTGTAAAACGAATAATTAATCAAGCTTGTAAATGTTTACTTCAACGTATCATTATAATATAATAATATTAATTTCACGCTTCATAGAACGAATGATTAATCGAGCTTATAAGTTCTTTGCTTCAACATATTTTTATCGCGTGATGAAAAAACGGCAAGCCGCATTATCCATAAAGCTCGGTGCGGTATATTGATTTCATAATTAATTGTATTTTACGAGATTCCACGGCCGTTATTGCGAACCGTCTACAAACCATTATCCTTCCCAGTGCATTCCACTTCCCCTTGTTAATTAAGATAACAAAAAATGTTAACCATTTCCTTTTATCAACGAGCGTCGGTTTTCTAACTCCCGCAGTTCTTGTGTTTAATTTCTGTGAAAACAATTAATCAATATCTTCTATTATATTTAGTTTACTTATCTACATTAAGATTTAGCTTTTTTTTTTTCAATTTAATCAAGACGAATACGGTTTTACCATACCTTAATAATTAATTATGAAACTCGTAGAACTTGTCAAATTTTGCAATTTTTTTTAGATAATGATGCATTCAAATAGCCTGAAACATGGTTTAATCGATATTAAAAAAAGTAATTTATATTCTATTCTACTCATTGTTGAATAAAAATCAATTTCCCCTGGATATTATTATTACAACGTTTAAAAGAATTAACGTATTGAACAAATATTGAAGATGCTCATATACTTCTTCTTTGCTTAGACAAACAGATTTTTGCACAGATAAGAGTCATCCTTGTTACGAGCGAATCAAATTGTAGTAGAATATTCGTCGATTTACAATCTGATGGTCAATTGCCATCGGCAGTTGCAATATGTAAAAGCATAGATACAAGGGGTGCGCGTTGAGTCAATCTCATATGACGCAATTTCTATCACATCTGGCTAAAAGCGGCAATCTTCGCGCTCGTAGACACCTACAGCCATTAATAATTCTTGCCTGGTACCTTCACCACGTGGGTTTTCTCTGTACAACTGCAAACGACCATTTCTAGAGGCACGTTAAGATCGCGGCTTCTGTGTGCGTAATGCAGTGGATGCGTCTTGGTCGTTGGTTGTCCGACTCTTGACTCGATTTCGCGACCGCAACTCAAGAGATATATCTCTCCCGATTTCCTTCCCTCTCGTTCTTTCCCTAGCCTCTTTTCGTTTCTTTTTGTTACTCATCCGTTCCTCGGTCTCGCTTACCCACGGCTGTGCCGATTCGTTTCCTCTTTGTTCCCGTCCCTCTCACCCCTTCCGTAGTTGTGCTGATTCTCCCTTCTCCTCCCATCCCGCCAATGGGACAGGGGAGATAGCAGACCCCGTCGAGGAGACAACATAAAGATTTAAGACTCCAAGATGCGCCAATAAACATGCTGCGGCCGCGCAGTCAGCCTGCGCTTCTCTACTGCGTTCGCTTCTGTTCCGTTTCATTCGGTTCCGCTCTGCTCCGTTCCGTTCCGTTCTGCTCTCTTCTGTTCTGTTCTGTTCTGTTGTGTTCTGTTTCACAGCGAGCATACGGCCAACGTGTGCACGTGTGTGTGTACGTGTACATGCGAGCGTCGCCTCGTCCCGCCGTACACACACCGAGGATGCAGGTTGCCTCTCGTATGCACGTGGTGCCACTGCGGCTGCTGCGTAACGTGCTTTCGAAAAGTGTCTCGATGCGTATGCAGATATGCGGCTTAGCATGAATAGTATCTAGATCCGGTCGTGGATAACTCGCCGCGATACCGGCAGATCCAACCGCTGAGGCTGGGGATTTCTAGAAACGCAGCAACACCGGAAGAACACCGTTCCTCTCCTCTGGTTACACAGAGATCGAGCAGAATCCACCTACGAGAGATTTATACATAATTACCGTCTCATCTTATATCCTTTTTCTAATCTAAACTAATCGGTACCTGGACGCGTTGCGCAGCGAGCATGCGCAGAATCGTTGCTGTTCGTCGGCACGCAACTCCTCCCCTTGTCCTCGGCTCTTTCATTTACCGCCCTAATACATTCATTAACGTTACGGAGATCGTTAAATGGATCTCCCGTCCCGTTCCTCCCACGACAAAATCACTTGTCCTTTAAAATCCATTCGAAACATCCTCGAAGTGATCTACGACTTCTACTCGAACGCGTCGCTGTCGTGTGGAGGAAGAGGCCTTCCGGATAACGAGACAGAAGTACACCTGCCGCGTTCGTAGAGGAGGCACAGGACACAGGCTGAAAAGTTTTCAATGCGAGGACGGTCGTACACCGCAAAAGTAGTAGATCGGGACGTTGGTCGTCCAAGCGGCAAGAGGGAGTCAACGGTGGAACCGTTGCTGGTTGTTGCTGCTGCTGCTGCTGCTGCTGCTGCTGTTGCCCGTTGCTACTGCTCCAGCTCCTACTTTTGCCTCGTCCTCTCGCTCTCCACGGCCCCCGGCTTATTTATTCCTCTCTCTGTCACTGCCTCCCTTTCTTCTGCGACTTCTTCTTTATTTCTGTCCTTTTGCCCGTTTTCTGCTTCCGCAAACGACAGCCGCTTATTTATATCCCGTCTTTGCATCGCGCGGGAGCAAGCGAGGGCGCTTTTGCGTTTGCACTCGCTACTGCACCCGTTCCCTCTGCCGCTTCTGTGTGTTGCTCCGCCGGTACCTCGCTTCTCTACCTTTTCGCTCGCTCCCTTTGTCGTTCTCTTTCCTGCTCTCTCCCTGCTCGATCCGTCTCTCCCCCACGGTCCGTGGCCGACCGTGTGCTAGCGAAACATCAACGGCGAGGCACTTTGCTCACGAACACCGTGAGATACGCCCGATGCGAGAGGCAATTCCGCGACTGCATCACCTGTCAACGCGGGATCGCGTTCCAACAGGTCTATATTACATGCAGCATGCGGCCGGGGTATGTAGGTACTCTCGGTAATTGTTGCAGAGACCGCCACCGTCGGCTAATTCGTCCGCCGAGAAATTTATGACGGTTACCTTTTTGGGACAGAAGATGTCTCTAATCTCCCGCCAAATTTACCAGCTTTAGTTGCATTTTCCTTAAACATAACCTGCGATAAGGCAATCAGATCGTCGATTTTGATCAGGACAGTTAATAATTGGCTTAATACTTTTTATTGCACGTCTTTTTGATCTAATTCTACTTTATACAAGGTATTTATCAAGGTAATTAATTTCAAACTTTTTTGGAACTTCTTTGTTACCTGTAACTAATCTATTTTATATTTTCCGATACCTTCTACATTGCTAGTTGATTATTTATATGTAAAGCAAGAATAATTGAATTGGATCTTTATTCGACGTCTGTATCTGCCCATACTAAACATTAATGGTGTGTGATTTTCTGCAATCGTCAATTTCAATATTTATAAATCTGTACATAGTACGTAAGCGAAGTGAGAAGTCAGCAATTTTACGTAAGAAAGAAACGACGAGGTAACTTTGTTTGCTGGTAAAGTTCGAGAATTTGCATCATCTCTGGCGAGATTCATTATCAGAAAACCGGATTTCGCTGAAACTAGTAGCGGCTTACGCAAATTGCATAATTACGCAACGATGAAATGTTGCGTTGGCTCTAGCGCGATCTTTTGATGCGCTAATTCCCTAGATCGTGGAATACGACGCAATTCGAGTCGATTTGACGTGTTTCCACTTCAAACGAAAACATGAAAGAAGAGAGAGAACCGTATCTTGACAGGTCTACGTGTTGGAAATTCCAGGAACATCAGGAAGATTATGTGTGGAGCACTGATAGCTGATAAGAGGTGGCTTAAGCTTTAATTCATCATGAAGGTGATTAAAAGTATTTCTATATTTAACTCGCCGATGAGTGGGCGTGCTGTTGTATCAATATAATCAATGCTAGCAGGATGAATGTCAATCCAACGGCCTGAGATACTGTATCACTTCCGGATCAATTTCGATAAGCGCTCGTCGATGATGGCAAAGGATCATTCGCGCGAGGGGAAAAAAAAAAAGAGGGAGTCGTTAAGTCCGATCACGAAATACCCGATTGAGGCGCGGTACGAACTATGGTTCGTGCGCGCCCCTGCTAAAGCTTCGAAGACCCGAACAAATAAATGCTGAAAAGAGGAACAAAACCGACATTATGTGGCATTAACATACAAAGTATGTCAGACCCGCGGTCCGCAGGCATAACATAGTATCGCGGCGTTCGCATACCCCGCCCGCTTTACAGTGACCAGCAGGAACAGAGAAAAGCATTGGAAAGAGACCGATCCCGAAAGCGGTGTGTAAGAAGGAGCGACGGTTAAAGGGAACGAAGGAGACGGGAGAAAGAGAGGAAGAGGGAAGAAACGAGTGTCGAATGTGTTCGAGTAAAGGCGATAGATCGTACGCTGGATAGAGAGGGCAGAATGATGAACGCAGAAAGGTGTGCGTGCTGTGGAAAAGGAGCGAGGAAGAGAACGAAGGAGAACGAGGGTGAAGAAGGAAGGGAGAGCGAGAGAAAGAACTGAAAGAGCGGAGGGAAGCGTTTACGCTATCCGCAGTCCCCCGAGGTCCAGTCCCATTCCGTCCCGTCCCGTCCCATCCCATCTCATCGCATCCCATCCCATTCCATCCCATCCTATCGTTTCGTTGTCCCCGTGTGCCACGCGGTGCGGCTTAACGCAAAAGGGCCCACAGAGCGGGAGCAGAGTAACAGAACGCACAGGAAAGGGAAAGATCCGAAGGCAGCAGCATGCCGGTGGCAAAACGAAAAATCGGCCCGCATATATCGAGCTGGCCTGCGACGACGACGACGACGACGACGACGACGACGACGATCGCTGCGACGGCGGCGGCGGCTACGACGACGAAGGTGGGACACACACATAAAACCAAGGATTCCTTGTGTTCCTGCTGCTTAGTCGACTCCCGATCGGCTACCGCTAGCGATGGTTACAAACTAGAGTTGAATACGAGACTTTGAATAAAGAATCACACGATTTCAGATACTTATCTGCAGTTGCTTTTATTTTGATCGACTATGTTTGTTGTATTTCCCTTCTGCTAATTAATATTGATAACGAATAACGAATAACGTGAAAAGATTACAAGTATAAATATTGTGATCGCAAGATTTTATGAAATTAATTTAGTAAGTATTCAGTAGACTATAATTTAAAAATTATTTAAAAAGCTTTTATTTCGATTTTTAAAGATGCACGGATTTCTGATTTGGAAATTAACATTTTAGTTGTATGATACGCGTTGAAATTACATATTCTAAATTATATATGTACGTGTTAACAATGAATTAATGAAATATTTTAGGAATTACCTCTCTTTTTTTCTTCTCTTTGTAGCTTTTGCAATTGAACAAAATACGATTAGCTTTGGATTTAATGTAACACATTACATTATATCATTATCATTGGTTTTGTTTCGATAAAATTAACTATACTTCTATTTGAGAAATCTCTTTCACTGATTTCAAATGTTGCACATGCCCAACACTATTCTCCGCTTTCACGCCGCTTTTGCAGTTTCGTGTTTGTTTTTGAGTTTAGTAGCTATTAATAAAAATTTATATGCACACGAGTCTATTTCAATATTCAATATGTGATGTATTGTAGTATAGAACTAAAAAAAAAATTAGAAATTGAAAAAAATGAGTCCAATATAACAGTAACATAAAACACATTGCTCTAACTGTAACATAGATGTTTATTTCCATAAATGTGCATAGAAAATCTATGTCACAAGGAACATCAACTTATTGTTAATTAAAATTAATAATTTCAATAATTATTGTATACAAAATAACAAAATATCTCTCTAGAAATACAATAACGAATTAGACACAAACGAATGTGTATAATATGTGTATAATAAAATAAAATTGTAATACCAATTGTAAATACAAATTGCAATTGTAAATACTATTGATGGGCATTTTTTTATATTGCTAAAAATATAATATTACTTTGTTTTTTTGCTAACGTATACTAAATAACCCTTTGAAGACAAAATACCACGACATTTTAAATGAATTTGGTATCTTGTAACCCAATATAAATTTGTATTAGCATTGAATATTCCATTTAGATCTTCTTCAGATAGAATTTCTGTAAGTAAAAAAATCATAAAATTGAATGACATATTATTTAATTTATTATTATTACTACATGTGAATAAGACTTACGTTCAGGATCATTATGTGTTAATAACTGTATATCATTTTCTTTACTGAATGTCTGCAAAGCTGGTGGTACAACACAACATGTAGCTAAACTAATTTGTACAATATTTGGTTTTATCTGTTTAAATAAAAATAATATAGAATAGATTGAACACTATAAAAGTAAACATTAAAAAAAAATACAAATAATAATAATTTTACATTTGCCCATTGAAATAAGTCAATAAACACATTTGTGTTGACATCACTTAAACCAACACTTGATAATTTGCCAATTTTCACATACTCTTCTACTCCAATCCACAGATGTTTCAATGATGCTAATAATTCTTCTGGATTTTCCTTGCTTAAATAAGCAATTACTAAAGACTCAATTGCATTTATGTTTAGAGAATTACAGACTGAAAAGAAATAATAAACGATAATATGTTATTAAAAATGTCTTTTGAAGGTAACAAATTATAGCACATACCTTGATCTATAGCTTCTTTCAGTAAGTTTACATCAGGTGATGGAATAAATACTTTCACAGTTATCTTAACATCTTCTCTATTAATGTCTTTCAATGCATTATCTTCTATACCTTGAATCTGAAAATAAGTAACTTTCCATTACAATAATGTATTTTTTAAGAGATTCTTTTTAGAAACAAATAACAAGTAAGAAGTGATCATACAATTACTGGATTTTCGCCAGTGCCTTCATTGTCTCGAAGTACAATTTTTAGTATTTCAATCAACTAGAAAATGAAAAAGAAATGTATCTGTGAGCTATCATTATTAATGTATTTTAGTCAATTTCAATACAGACATAACCTCGAGAATTATGATCCCTATGATTATGATACATTGAAAACTTCTCAAGTTTTCATGAAAAATTCAAAAACTGACCTCATCTGTAGGATTTTGACTTGCTTTTGTTTTTGCCTCATTTAAAGAAAGTATATTTCCAGTCCGAACTAATATATTTTGTGATAACATAGTATGTAACAAAATCGTAAAGAATGTTAGCAAACGTGTTGCAGATGACTAACTAGAGGTATTACGAAAACTAATGACATAGATCGTAGTCGACAATCGCTCGCAATGAATTTAATCGTAGATGACGTGGCTGACTAGGCAATTTTCAATCCAAAGATAATATGTAGCGTTAAAAGAATTTATCAACATACATTCATGTGATTTTTTGATCTTATATTATATTTATTACATAAGTCAAATCATTCTTAAATACGATAAGAGCAAATTGCTTCCAGACTACCTGCGCGAAAATGCATATTGTTATGTAGTCATAATTACGTCATTGATATTAGAGTTACAGATTACGCAATTGCAAACAGTTGTCTGGATACGCATATACTTTGTTATATATATTTATATGATATAAAGTTGAATTTGAATTTTAAATACATATAATTGCAATTATATTCTCACGAATCGTTATTATAATTTTTTACATTCATTTTAGATAAATTTCTTTTGTCATGAAATTAGTGACATTGTCTTCTAAAAGCAAGAAATTGCTTATAATCTTCCAAAGAAATTAGTTCTCATTTCATTTATAATTTTCTTTTATAAACTTATAAATTTTAATATTGAATTTACATTTTTAATGTTTATTTAGTTTTGTGAATATAAAATGCGTATAAATGTAAAAACTTAGAATCCAGTTATTGCTAAGTAACTTAAATAATTTGATATTGATCAATGATTTGAAATTTGAATTATAATACATTTTATTGCAGGATATAGTTGGTTATGAAATAATTGGTGTTCAAAAATAAATTTAGATCAAGAAGTAAGATCACTAACATAGATATGATATTTCATTAGTATTTGTGTCCATAGTCAATACATAATAAAATTTTTAACTATGATAGATAGCGCAACAATCGTTTGGGTATAACAGAAAAATTAAATAACCTATCTATAAAATACATGCATCACGGCTGTGATGTGCAAAAATAAGTACATTCTATTTAGCATTTATAATTTGCTAATGCTTAAAAAGTAACGAAATAAATTTTTAAGAAGTGAACTTAATAATAAAACTGTAATTGTGCAGTACAAAATGCCTGCTGACGTACTTGGATATATATATGCTGCTACAGTAGCGGCTGGTGGTATACTTGGTTATGTGAAAGCACGTAAGTTATTATTATTATATATAATAGATATTTATTTATAAAATTATTTTTATAATTTTTAATGACTTATTTTTTATTTCTTTGTTATATAATTTTTATTTATTAAGGAAGTAATTAATAGAAATTACATTTTTACGGTAAGCAATAAAAAATCACAATTTTTTAAAGAATCAATTCCTTCTCTGGGTGCTGGACTTATTTTCGGATCTGTTTTGGGTTATGGAGCTTATCAAACTTCTCAAGATCCCACAAATATTGGACTATCTATAGCAGCAACTTCAGTTCTTGGTGGAATTATGGGTTACCGATATTACAATACTGGTAAATTAATGCCAGCTGGAATAATTGCTATATTCAGGTATTATTTTATTAATGATGTTATATATTTATGTCATGCATAATAATAATTTTAATGAATTAATAAAATTAAATTCTTTTTAGCTGTGTAGTATTAGTAAAAACTGTTGTCAGGTCATTTACTGGCGCAGCTCTTGTAACTGAGACATTAAACAAAGACAGTAAGTTGACATGAATATAAATTTTTAAAATTTTAATTTCATTGGTTGAACTATTTCATATATGCACACGTAATATAAGTAGTTTAACAAGAGGTGGGATTAAATCTGTATAAAAGAAGAATGTAGAGAAGACACTGGCTGTGGTGAACTGAAATAGTTAACCTTTTTTTTATTACACAAATGCTTTCCTACAGGATAAAAATATAACATTTATATTTGTTACATTGACACATGTAACTTGAATATGTTCAATAAAGCTATTTTAAGTGTTATTTGAGTTTATAAAGATAATGTTATATAAAGGATTAAGATAATTATGAAAATTTGTATTTTATTTCTATCTTAATTTTGTATCTTATAATACAAAATAAATGTGTACCTATATTACTTAAACAGTTAATTAAATTGAATCTGTATCAATATAACTTTAATCTATGTACTACGGAACAGATATTGTGTCATTTTTCATTCTCATTAATTTGTTTTAATTTTGTTTCAGTATTATTCTATTAGTGCTTAAATATTATATTTAGAGTAGTAAAATTAAAAACTATTATATATAGTTTTTGAAAAAAATTTATACTTTCTGTTTTGATGTTAATAATCAGTTGAATTTTATTATAACCTTTAAAAGATTGTAGAAATTTATCGTAGTGTATGCTACAATTTGTTTGTTGTTTACTATACATAGTATCGTATAAAAATCATAGAATCTGTGTCATGATATAAATTGTGAACTTATTACGACACTTATTAGTTATTGCGCTTGGTTATTGCTAGAATAAAGAAGAGTTATAAACATTAGCATTATAAGTTATTAGCATTATAAAAAGAGAGAATATTCAATATTGAAAATTTATATTAAAAGTATGAAAAATGTTTCAAAGTACTTTAACCTTCTAATGGATGATAGAATACGAAACAAAATGGCATCTTTTGCCACGATATTTTTAAAGAAATTTATTTCAAAATTATTTGTTCAAATTTCATTTGACGCCTTAATTTCTATTGATCTAAAAATAAGTGATTTTCAATTTTTGATTGTCGATTCGCAATTCAATTCATTTAACTTCCAAAGTTCCGTTCTTGATTTATTTAAAATCTCGTAATCGATTGTACACGGTAATCGAAGTGCGAAAACTCGAAGTTCGAGTTACGTTTCGGATCGAATGAGCTTCAGACTGGATGCATTTACGAACCCTTCCGGGAGCTCTTGCTCGGTGGTGTGTCCGTGGGAGGGAAGTTCTGCGGTTTCACCAGGTCCTCCGAGTTTTAACGAATTATAATACAATTTACGAGTTAATCGACTACGTGTTGATGTTCTCTCGTAACTCGTGAGTGGTTACGACTGAACAAACGAATGTTCTTTCGCGAATCTTTTAACGGGGACTTGGTTGCGAGAGAATTCGACAGGCACTGGTCGCAACACGAACGAAGCTTCAACCTTCATCGATCGATTTGACTGATTTTTGAGATCCAGTCACCGAAAACTTCCATCATTCCGTCAAAAACCGAGTGCCGACCCGCAGGGTGGCGATCATTTGATAAGGTACGTACACACGCTAAGGCATATTCGATGTAATCGACATTGGTGTCACATTTACATCTTATAGCCTGTCACGTGAAAATTTTACCGATGAGTCACAACGTGGTCCTTGCAGAATTTGTGCAAGCTTCAAGCGTCATATGATATCTTTAACGACAGATTAAATACTTCCACGAACGGATCACGAGCTCCTTCATTTTCTTCGTACAAGATTTCCTTATTTTTCACAGTTGTTTTGTCGATTTCCCTTTGTAATCGGTATTATTATCTACCGAGGCTATATAACGATTTTCTTAACGACTCTTATCTATTCTACAAGTGACGTTAATTGATTCGAATCCAAATTATTCATTCAGTATAATAGGTATTAGCACAATCGATGAACTTATTTTACAAACATTGTACCATCTTGCTACTTGCTAACATCATGTTTGCAGAGCAGTTTGTATTTCGATGCTATGTTATCTTCAAGTTGCTGCTACCTAACTCGGCCTGATATTTCCTGCGCAAACCAATGTTACAACGAGAAATGCCAGGAATTTATTTAAAATTTCCATATGTCAGTTGAAGAACTTCTTACTCATGAGTGATAATGTAAATGTCAATATGTTAACACGTTTCAAAAGATTGATGTCTCCGTTTTTAACAATAGCAATGACACAATTTTCATGTAATATCGTATATTTGTTTCGAATAATTCAAACAATATGTTACATTTTTTTTTTAACTAGAATGTATTAAAGTGCTTTAATTTTATTTATTTTTACAATTAATTAATCAAAGTATACATTGTTTGAATGTTTTATGCGATTCAATTATCAAATTACTTTTAATATAAATTTTCTTCAGATTTTCTATAAATTAAGTATATTATTGTACATATGTAGTATATATAATGTGTACAATAAAATATATTAATTATTTTTAAGGAATTATATCTTATATTGTGTGACGAAACATATATTTTCAAAATTTATGAACTTATTTTATTATATAAAATTCTATTCTGATGAAAAGTAGTATTTATAAAAAAAGAAAGCAACATATATAATGTGAGACACCCCTATTTGAACTATTACACAGCTATTATCAGTAAATGTGTCATCTGATTTTGATGAATGATAGTTATCTATAATTCCATACAATACAGATTAAACATAGTATTTTCATGCCCCCAATGAAGACTTGATCTTTGAGTGGCGTGTGCATTATCCCTCCATGTCTAATTGGATCTCTCTGAACCGCGTATTTCTTGGCCGTCAGATAAGCTTTGTTCCATGAAGTAGACTTGGTACCACGCAAAGGCTGCCTGATAATACTTATCTTTCCCGTATAAATAGTGGCCCAAATAGTTACTTCAGGTTCAGTATTATTCTTGATTGTCCATTGTGCTTCTTGTACATTGTATATTGTACTGATTGAGCACATCTTGTGCAATTATAAAAGAGGAGTATACGATACAAATTTGTAATTTTCTTTGTTCATATTAGTGTTCTTTCTATATTATTATAAAGATAGTTGTATCAAAGATTATTGTGAATTCAAAATTTTTAATTTTAACGTCTTTTTGTTGAAACGTATTATAAAAGCTACGAGAATTACTTTTAAACGCCAGGTGAGTTTCCAGAAGCTTTTTTTTTTATTTTTTTTTTTAAGAAGATATTGTTATATTTGCTTGATATAGTAATCATATTTTTATCAGAGGTTGATGAAATTGATTTAAACAAGATTTATTTTTAAAAATTAATGTAAATTCAGTTTGAATTTTTCAAGTATCTGATAAGAAATTCAAAATTCTTATAAAATTTGATAAGATAAATTTCAGACAATAAAAAAATGTGTTTGACATGTGTTATTAAATGTATTAATCCATAGAATATAAATGAATTGTATAAACATATTATTTTTCTGTGTAAATAAATGTCGTTCAAGAACATAACCATGCTTTAGTGTATTCATGAAATATCTTAATATTTATTTTTATGTTATATATATTTATATTACATTTAATAATTATAGAAATGCCATGTGAATATTGAATAAAATTACAAAACAATAATTTTTTTCTAAATTAGTATCATGTTTTTATACATTTTTTTGTTTTTAAAGCTTTCTATCTTTTTGAACCAATAGATTAATACTTAATAGATTTTTTAAAGATATGATTTGAATCTAGAAATGTAAATAAGAATTACACTTGATTATTAATTAACTTGATCTAAAAATATTTTTATAAAACAATTATTTTATTGCTTTAACACATATATTGTTTGTTATAGGGTTCTATCTGCAATAGGCTGGTAGGCCAGTCTATTGGTGGGTGCGTAGATAACTGCGGCAACTGGAAGTTGGCCCTGAACGCAGAGCCCCCGTGGCTTTGCTAGCACCCCCATAGTGATCTTGTCTTAACCCGCCTCCTCACGACTCACCCGATTCTCATTGACAGCTGCCTCGTATGTTAAATAAAAAATAGTCAGATGTATTTAATGTTCTATGACCTAATAATTGTATAATTTCAGTTTGCTGCCTAGCACCTACAGAGTATCTTTAAAAAATTTACAAAATAGTCAATATGAAGGTAACAAATTTGGATGAACGTATTCATGTTTTGGACAGTGCGTCAAATGTTATGACTGTCATCAAAGACATTGCACTGAGTGGATTGCAAGAAGAAGCTTTTTATGTGCTTGACATTGGAGATATTGTTCGTAAACATCAAATATGGAAGGAAAAAATGCCACGTGTCAGTCCCTATTATGGTAAGATAATTATAAATAATATTAAATATTATAAATTGTACCTCATGTTAAATTAACTCATTTATTATAAAATTTCAGCTGTAAAATGTAACGATAATTTAATTGTAATTGAAGTATTGGCTGCTCTTGGTATTGGTTTTGATTGTGCATCTAAAGTAAGTAATTTGATACTTTGTCATTAATATTAGTTAGATATTCGAGGTAAACAATCTAATTGAGATTTTTATTGTTCGGTGTTATAGTCGGAGATTAATAAAGTATTAAGTGTTGGAGTAGACTCATCAAGAATTATCTTTGCCAATCCTGCTAAGCCAGCATCACATATTCGTCATGCTGCTGCTGTTGGAGTTGATGCTATGACAGCAGATAATGAAAGCGAGTTACATAAGATTAAGAAACTTCATCCAAGTGCCAAGGTAATAGGAAATATTGTTTGTTATTTTATTCTATTCTATATTTACTTATAATCTTATCTAATTCATTATATTTTAATTTTAGGTTGTTATTAGAATTCGTTGCGATGCAGAAGTTGCACAGTGTCAGTTAGGCATGAAATTTGGTTGTGATCCTATATATGAAGCACCCAATCTTTTACGTCTTGCACGCGTTTTGGGTCTCAATGTCATCGGTATTAGTTTTCATGTTGGATCTGGATGTAGAGATCCACCTGTATTTTATCGAGCTATACGTGAATCTAAAATATTATTTGATTTAGCAACTGATCTTGGTTTTAAGCCATATCTATTAGATATTGGCGGTGGTTATCCCGGAGATAAAGGCACTAGCATTGATAAAATTGCTAACGTCATTAATGAGGCACTTGACGAATTCTTTAGTAGTAAGTGATATTTATTGGTATTGTGATTATAATATGTTGTACCTTATCTTTATAATAGTTTTATTTAAATATAAATTTTCTTTGCTTACAATTTTCAGCTGATGCTGTTCACATAATCGCTGAACCTGGCCGTTTTTATGTTGCCTCGGCATTTACACTCGCAACAAGCATTCATAGCAAACGTTCAGTACGTGGCGATGAAAATTCACCAAATTCAGTTACGCACAATATGTATTACATTAATGATGGTGTTTATGGCTCTTTCAATTGTTTACTTTATGATCATCAACATGTAACTCCAATACCTCTAAAGGTAATCATTTTAAGTAATCAGAGTATTTAAAAATAGTTTGTACAATATGGAATTTTAAATTATTCAATATTTTTAATATTAAATATTTAATAATAAATATTTTGGCATTAACAGAAAGGTTGTGGAAAGATGTACCCCTCGAGTATTTGGGGACCAACTTGTGATGGTTTGGATCAAGTCGTAGAAAACATCATGTTACATGAAATGGAACTTGGTGATTGGATAATTTTTGAAAATATGGGAGCATACACGTTACCGGTTGCTTCTCCATTTAATGGATTCCCTGTACCTAAAGTACACATTGTCGCTGATGAAAATATTTGGTAAATGCATCATATAATACTATTATGTCTTTGAGTGTAATTATTTAACGCACTTTCTGATTGCAGTTGTGTTGTTAATGACAAAATTTTTATTTGTTATGTCTTACAGGCATTTGTTGAAAGATGCTTTACCTTTAACCGAAGACCATTTTGTTATTGGCAATACTCCGGCTAATTTACGACTTGGTCTGGGTATCGGTGGAACTGATACTAATGCATGGCGCAATTCAAACATTGAACTGACATCAACTGAAATTTTAGCTGACGTTACTAATCCACCAACAGCATACATTTATGATTACCTTGAAGTTGACCTTTAAATTAGTGTAGATTTATTACAACAAACGTGTTAAAACAACTACTCGACATTTCTAGCGGAAACTACATCTTTGTTTCGTATAGAGAATATTATGGCATAATTTGAAACTAGATTTTTAAGATTTGATGACCATTATGTTTATTTTACATTTATTTTGGTTATTTTTGAAGGTAAAAAAAACTTACTTTGCTTTTATTCCGAGCTTGAAGTTTTTACTAACTTTGGTACCATTTTTGAAAATTATTTATACTTTTTGCTTTTATTAAAAAATTAAGAACGTGCAAATTATTTCAGAATGATATAGAGGTGACGTATACAACTGTTGTCGAATAATTAAAGAGTAAAGTGTAAAAATTATAATCAAATTTTCAAATTATTGTTGGAAAATATCTTCAGTACTACTATAGATATTATTATTCTGCTGCATGACATGTTAAAATATTTCCGTAGAAATGTTTACATACATATTTCTAGAAACTGAGCTTTCCTCATATTATATAATTATCTTTCGTAATTAAAGAAATATTTATTGATGTTCTTCATAAGTACGATTTGCACGTTTAACATAGAAAAATGTTTGAAATCTTTTTTATATACGTATAAATCGTATTAATATGAGTTAGTAGAAAATTCAGCTAGCAAAAATGGTAATTTTCGCAACAATTTTATGAACGATTTGACGTCCATATTTAATGGTAAGCGATTTGTGTGGTTTTTTAATATTAAACACAAATATTACATAACATATAAGGAAAGAACAAAATTATTAGTAGTTTTGCGTAAGAGCTTAAATGTTGAGACATTTCTATATATATCTAAACTATTAAAGTAATCATTGTTATTAATACATGATTAACAAAAGATAAAAAAAATATAAAAAAAAAAATGAGGGAAATGTAATCGATAGCATTGAAGATGACGTACATGTCCAACATATGTGTAATGATAGAAGCACAAAATGTTTCACTATCTTTCTCGAATTAATTTTTTTTATTTCAAAAGTAAAAAAAAGAACAAAAAAAAAGTATATATATATAAACTCTGTAGGATTGTTAGGATCTTTAGGGCACTGAGGCAGCTGTCACATAAAGAAAAGATAATTAGTTTCTTATTAATTATTACTCTTATTGTATTATATGTCGACTATTATTATTGTTAATTAATTATTATTAACGAATGAATATATGTAATGAAATATATAAAGTCAAATCGAAAGATTTTTAATTGTTATTTCTCCTTTGTTTCTCAGAGACTCGACAGCGATTGATAGATATTTGTGATTCAAAGATAAATATCTTGTATTTAATAATTGTAATGTGTCACATGTTAATGTTAAAAACTGATCTAGGATTTTCTCGTACTTCATTCAAAATTCGAAATCTCAAGTATTTTTAAAATAAAATTTATTATCGGCAAATATATGTCAGTTAGAAGTAATTAATTATAAGCTCTGCGCAACGAATAACCTTATCAAAAGAAATTTCTTCTCGTAACATTGACACGCGCTTAACTTATCTCGATGTTACAAGCAATTTTTGTTATTATATAATTCATGCTGCGCAATTGTAGCATTTGCATTTGCTATGTCGCATATTAATTCCTGATTTATAGCATAATACATTACATCAATCGATGGTATAAATCAGTTAAACAAACATCTAGACAAGTTGTAGCTGATTGTATATTTACTTGTATTTTATCTCATTTTCCATTTTTCCCCTCAAAAAAGTATATTTTATAACTGAAACTATGTTATTATATTGTCTAAAAATCTCATTATCAAAGAAAAGGAACAGAGACAAAGGAATTATAATGTAACCGCGTTATTTTTTCTTTGTTAAAGAGCCAATGCCGATTGTAGATTCATTTCTGATTCAATGGCAATATATACAATAAAAAAATAAATATTCCTTTTCTGTTTCTCTTTGTCAATTTCGCACCGAGATTATTTCTCAGAAGAATAATTCATACTTGATCCATAGCTGTAAATAAGAATTACAAAAAATATTATATTTTTCTCATTTTTGTAAATGTAATACTTCTCAGGATTATATTTAAGATTGATAAAAGAATCGATTAAGATAATTTCGTTGCGATTTTGACTTTGAAGTAGTACCATCGAATAGAAAACAAATAAATTCGATTATTGCGCTGTCGATTATCATGCTTGTTTAACGAAATATATATATATATATATATATATATATATATATACGCCATACTAGAAGAGTCGAATTGCGATTCGATCAAAGATTTGGATCGATCAAGGTTTTCGGACAGAGTTCACACAGACAGTTCGACAAGTCACGATCTTTATTGTGCATTGTGAAAGGTGTACTGTTGTTTTGCTTGCAATGCACTGTCTAACCGGATAGTTGTGCAACAATTGCTAATCTTTTCATGTCTGTATATATTTATTGTTTCTCTATACTGCATGCTTTTCCAATATATATTACTATATCTTTTATATAATGGTAGGTATATTCTATAAGCCATATATTTTACATGGTTAGTATAGCGATTAAACAGTCACATCGTCAATAAAACTGTCTTTGTTAAGTAAATGAAGCTTTTGGCCTGTTGTACAAATTAAATATCTAGAGGCATCTATATACATGTTTTTTGTGATTATTAGAATCTTGCTTCTCTTGAATTTTTTGTACTTGGAACATATCGTTCACCGAGTGATATGCATATCATTTAATTAACATACATACATTCTTTACACCAGCGTGTGTTTAATTATACAGTAAAAAGACATATATATATATATATATATATATATATATATATATATATATATATATATATATAGTATATTTATAGTAATTATATTAAATAATAATTAATATATATATAGTATATTTAAATTATTTATATATATATAAATATTTTTTTACTTTTAAATTTTAAATTTTTAATATTTATTTTAACACTAATAACTTAAATATACTCTATATTTTGCAACATCGACTCAACAATTGCAAATTAACAATTCTAATAATTGCAAACTATGCAAATTATAAATTCACTTCGATCAGTCTCTTGCAGTTATAATTTCCGATCCGGATATAACGAGAAGAAACGCTAAAGCTTTTCGAAATTCACACTTTATTCGCTAAACGCATGAAAATGCAACGACAAAAATTCTTCCTAGCAAGATTACACAGTGGATTAAACAATTTACGAATACGTAGAAGTCTTTACATTGATAAGCCTGTCGATACTGAACGCATCCAGCAATATTTTCATTCGATTTGCATTTGGATCGTTTTCTCGAGCCCTCACAACAGTTAAGATTATCCTTATCCTCTTCGAATCGTAACACTTTGTCGCGATATTACGTCGTACTCCTCGTTCGAATTAATCTCCTCTCGAGGGTCCGTGCCTGCCGTAACTTACCTCGCCTCTTAACTCCCACGTTTCGCCGCGTGACGTCGATCGAAAAATAATAAACGAGCGTGCACGATCGAGGATGATGATATCTCGCCGCTAGTTAGCGGCTAACCAGTTCACCTTAGCGTTCACGTCCCTGCTTTCGAGTTGTTCGTCGTAAAAACGAAGCTGAGAAAAACGCGCGACAGACGAGCAAGAAAAATAAACGAAATTTTCGAAACGTTGCAAAACGGGATTCTTTTTTTTTTTTTTTTTTTCTCTCGTCGTCTTTATGAAGAAACTTCTTATCGGCGAGATACCGGTTGTAAATCGCGAACGCGAAAGAGGCGAAGGGGAAAGGGGAGGAGGGGCGTGTATGTTTAAACGACCATTAGAAAGACTGGCTAAGCTGTTACTTCGTTATCGAGAGGAGTAGCGATCTATCGAGGATACGATTCGGCTCGTTTTCATGGAAATTAGCCGAGCCGGTAATAGGAGTTTGCAACTTATCGGCGATAAAAAGCGTCGTAGGCGAAACGGCCCAGGCTGCCGAGTATAGTGACTCGAGCGTTGCAGAGACGCGGAGAAAGAAATTTCAGCGCGAAACGCCCGCCGCGTTGGAGACTTCAACGTCGGCCAACGAAGCTCTCTCTCTCCCGCCATCACTCTCGTCACGGTGTTCCCTTGTCACGTGTATACATTAATACTTGTACGTACATATTGGTAATAAATCTGAATATATTAGTAATGAATTAATAATAATAAAATGTGTAGGTACGTATATACAAGGTGGGCCAAGATTCTCTTTCCACCGTTTTTTTTTTTTTTTGTTTTGTTTAAGAAAATTAAAATTATTAATTTTAACCTCTTCCGCGAGAATTTTTTCCCCCGAGAAGTTGAAATATTTTCTCAGCTTCAATTATACTTAAGTATAACCCCGGCCGAAGCAAATGATAAATTTATTACTTACCGACGAATTACATGTATACGGTTCGGTCGCTCGTTACGGTCCGCAATCGGTTGCCAGCGCAAGTGGTTAAATTAAATCTAAGTTCAAACTTACTTCAATCTGTAAAGAAGGAAAACTTTCGAAAGTATATAACGAAAGTACTACGAATTTATTTTAGTAGGAAGTAATTTTTTGACCCACCCTGTATATATAATATTATGTGTAAGACGACTCGTGACTAGTGGTACGAGGTAACGAGTCGAGAGGAAAGAATAAAAAAAAAAAAAATTTTTACTCGACGTTGAAGCATTCGCTTTCTAGAAAATCTAATGTGACAATTGATCGAGTACACTTGAATTCAGCTAACTCTGTACGTGACAGAAAAGAATAATCAATTTTCGCAGAAGGGGATATTTTTAGTAGATGCAATAAGTAAAGATTCTTCAATTTCTACACTTAATTTAACACAAAAAAAAAAAAAAAAAAAAAAAAAAAAAAAAAGAAAGAAAGAACAAATTTCAACGACGTTTGCCTCCCTGTCAGCTCGAACACGAAAGATCCTCATTTTTATATCGCAGATTCGCGAGATTCGATGTGAAAATTCTCGAGATTCGACGACAAAAAGAAAAAAGGTGCGGCGATATTCCCAGAAATGGATTCGTCACGTTTCTTCGATCGTACACCACGAGCATAAAGGTGGATTTGTTCGCCGATTGACGATCAATTAAGCTCGGATATAAGTCCCCACGATACGTACGTATCTTCGAGTGACGTTCGGAAGAAAACGCGACGATTACGCGCCAACAAAGTTGCTGTCTCGATCTTGAAGTTGTCACAGATCAAAAAGAACCGCCGCGGCGTGGTTTAATAATTTTGCAGATCCATAAGCGGGCAGTAGCCATTCGGCGGTGGTGGCTCGGGGAAGACGATGCCGTCAGCAGCTCGGAGCTCAGAGTAGTCGAAGTTGGTAGTATAAAGTTTACAGCACTGGTTTGACACGGCGATTAACCGGGAAGTTTAACGATCGATCGGGGCTTCTTCGACGATGCGATCCGTTCGCCCGAAAGGCAGTCAACGTCCTTTTTTCTTTTTTTTGTTTTGTGTTTTTTTTTTTTCGATAAAATGCCTGTGACTTTTATCTGGCCTGACACGCGAAACTTCTGAAAAATCCGGCCTCGCGGCCGATGAATATAAATCAACCCGTCTCCTCTGTCCGTGGATTCGCGTTTTCTCTACGCTCGTTCGTAATATGTAAATCCCGGCCGACGCTCCTTTCTTTTATCGTTTCGCACGATTTTTACCGGTTTTAACGCGAATGAAATAAATAAAATGGCCGAGCAGTTTCATCTCGCAAGTAGCTGTTTTCTTTTTTTTTTTTTTTACTATTTTCGCGCTGTTGCGTTTTGACTTTATATTTTTCGTCAAATTTTAAGCGTAATTTCGTTGTGGACGTACATGTATGTATGTACGTTTGAGAAACGTTTCGAGATTTTCAAGCACGACGTTGTCGTTGAATTTATGGACGTGTCGTTTTTTTATACCTCGTCGAGGTGGAATTGACGCGTCTATCTGAAAATTTTTACACGTACGTGTTCTTCGGATCTGTTTCAAACTTGACCAACGTAATCGCGATAGTTGAATCTCGCTACGTGTAATATATCGGCGTACGCGCGTACAA